AGATTCCATGATGTTGCAGTGTCTGACAAGTTGTGTACGAATGGTATATAATACCGACAAGATGAGAGTAAGACACATGTGCAACATCTGGGTATCTTTATTGTAGACGTTTCGCCATCCAGTGGCTTTATCAATACAAATTCTAGGACATAACTTGAAGACAGTAGAACTATGTACAGAAGATGAGGTAATCAGTCCCTCAACCTAGGAGTAGGTGCGAACAGCACCATAGTCGTGGAGATTCTGAAGCAGAAGAAAGAATCCTGGCGCTTATATAGTAACGTCAGGTGAAGCAGACGACGGCAAATTCACTGGTAGGCGGGATTCCCCAGTGGAAGTAGGTCCTTCCCAAAGAGATGGGTTAGTTGTAGTAGTAGTTGTCGTAGTCGTGAAGGTTATGTACATGTCCTCAGAATTAAGATTCCATGATGTTGCAGTGTCTGACAAGTTGTGTACGAATGGTATATAATACCGACAAGATGAGAGTAAGACACATGTGCAACATCTGGGTATCTTTATTGTAGACGTTTCGCCATCCAGTGGCTTTATCAATACAAATTCTAGGACATAACTTGAAGACAGTAGAACTATGTACAGAAGATGAGGTAATCAGTCCCTCAACCTAGGAGTAGGTGCGAACAGCACCATAGTCGTGGAGATTCTGCAACATCATGGAATCTTAATTCTGAGGACATGTACATAACCTTCACGACTACGACAACTACTACTACAACTAACCCATCTCTTTGGGAAGGACCTACTTCCACTGGGGAATCCCGCCTACCAGTGAATTTGCCCTCGTCTGCTTCACCTGACGTTACTATATAAGCGCCAGGATTCTTTCTTCTGCTTCAGAATCTCCACGACTATGGTGCTGTTCGCACCTACTCCTAGGTTGAGGGACTGATTACCTCATCTTCTGTACATAGTTCTACTGTCTTCAAGTTATGTCCTAGAATTTGTATTGATAAAGCCACTGGATGGCGAAACGTCTACAATAAAGATACCCAGATGTTGCACATGTGTCTTACTCTCATGTTAGGTAAGACACATATGCAACAGTTAGGTATCTTTATTTTGAAACGTTTCGCCTACACAGTAGGCTTCTTCAGTCAAGTACAGAAAAGTTGATAGAAGCAGAAGATACTTGAAGACGATGTAATCAGTCCATCACCCTTAAAGTTTTGAGGTGGTCAGTCCCTCAGTCTGGAGAAGAGCATTGTTCCATAGTATGAAACAATATGGAGATGAAGTGACAGGATGGAGCTTTTATAGCGCCAAGAGGTGAGACGTAGGCCACTAGGAGAGGTAAGAACTCAGATGTTGAAAGGTCAGGTCCCTCTCAAATCCAGCCGCTCTCACTAGTGGAAGTTGTCGAAGTTGATTGCAGGTCTGTACCAAGATACCCTTGTGTTGCAGTGTCTGACAGATTGAACATTAAAATGGTATAAAATACCGACAGGTTGTTAGGTAAGACACATATGCAACAGTTAGGTATCTTTATTTTGAAACGTTTCGCCTACACAGTAGGCTTCTTCCAGTCAAGTACAGAAAAGTTGATAGAAGCAGAAGATACTTGAAGACGATGTAATCAGTCCATCACCCTTAAAGTTTTGAGGTGGTCAGTCCCTCAGTCTGGAGAAGAGCATTGTTCCATAGTATGAAACAATATGGAGATGAAGTGACAGGATGGAGCTTTTATAGCGCCAAGAGGTGAGACGTAGGCCACTAGGAGAGGTAAGAACTCAGATGTTGAAAGGTCAGGTCCCTCTCAAATCCAGCCGCTCTCACTAGTGGAAGTTGTCGAAGTTGATTGCAGGTCTGTACCAAGATACCCTTGTGTTGCAGTGTCTGACAGATTGAACATTAAAATGGTATAAAATACCGACAGGTTGTTAGGTAAGACACATATGCAACAGTTAGGTATCTTTATTTTGAAACGTTTCGCCTACACAGTAGGCTTCTTCAGTCAAGTACAGAAAAGTTGATAGAAGCAGAAGATACTTGAAGACGATGTAATCAGTCCATCACCCTTAAAGTTTTGAGGTGGTCAGTCCCTCAGTCTGGAGAAGAGCATTGTTCCATAGTATGAAACAATATGGAGATGAAGTGACAGGATGGAGCTTTTATAGCGCCAAGAGGTGAGACGTAGGCCACTAGGAGAGGTAAGAACTCAGATGTTGAAAGGTCAGGTCCCTCTCAAATCCAGCCGCTCTCACTAGTGGAAGTTGTCGAAGTTGATTGCAGGTCTGTACCAAGATACCCTTGTGTTGCAGTGTCTGACAGATTGAACATTAAAATGGTATAAAATACCGACAGGTTGTTAGGTAAGACACATATGCAACAGTTAGGTATCTTTATTTTATTTTGCATATGTGTCTTACCTAACAACCTGTCGGTATTTTATACCATTTTAATGTTCAATCTGTCAGACACTGCAACACAAGGGTATCTTGGTACAGACCTGCAATCAACTTCGACAACTTCCACTAGTGAGAGCGGCTGGATTTGAGAGGGACCTGACCTTTCAACATCTGAGTTCTTACCTCTCCTAGTGGCCTACGTCTCACCTCTTGGCGCTATAAAAGCTCCATCCTGTCACTTCATCTCCATATTGTTTCATACTATGGAACAATGCTCTTCTCCAGACTGAGGGACTGACCACCTCAAAACTTTAAGGGTGATGGACTGATTACATCGTCTTCAAGTATCTTCTGCTTCTATCAACTTTCTGTACTTGACTGAAGAAGCCTACTGTGTAGGCGAAACGTTTCAAAATAAAGATACCTAACTGTTGCATATGTGTCTTACTAACAACCTGTCGGTATTTTATACCATTTTAATGTTTCAATCTGTCAGACACTGCAACACAAGGGTATCTTGGTACAGACCTGCAATCAACTTCGACAACTTCCACTAGTGAGAGCGGCTGGATTTGAGAGGGACCTGACCTTTCAACATCTGAGTTCTTACCTCTCCTAGTGGCCTACGTCTCACCTCTTGGCGCTATAAAAAGCTCCATCCTGTCACTTCATCTCCATATTGTTTCATACTATGGAACAATGCTCTTCTCCAGACTGAGGGACTGACCACCTCAAAACTTTAAGGGTGATGGACTGATTACATCGTCTTCAAGTATCTTCTGCTTCTATCAACTTTTCTGTACTTGACTGAAGAAGCCTACTGTGTAGGCGAAACGTTTCAAAATAAAGATACCTAACTGTTGCATATGTGTCTTACCTAACAACCTGTCGGTATTTTATACCATTTAATGTTCAATCTGTCAGACACTGCAACACAAGGGTATCTTGGTACAGACCTGCAATCAACTTCGACAACTTCCACTATTGAGAGCGGCTGGATTTGAGAGGGACCTGACCTTTCAACATCTGAGTTCTTACCTCTTCTAGTGGCCTACGTCTCACCTCTTGGCGCTATAAAAGCTCCATCCTGTCACTTCATCTCCATATTGTTTCATACTATGGAACAATGCTCTTCTCCAGACTGAGGGACTGACCACCTCAAAACTTTAAGGGTGATGGACTGATTACATCGTCTTCAAGTATCTTCTGCTTCTATCAACTTTTCTGTACTTGACTGAAGAAGCCTACTGTGTAGGCGAAACGTTTCAAAATAAAGATACCTAACTGTTGCATATGTGTCTTACCTAACAACCTGTCGGTATTTTATACCATTTTAATGTTCAGTCTTACTCTCATCTTGTCGGTATTATATACCATTCGTACACGATGGTAGACAAGGCTGAGGAGATGTGCCAGTACTGTCAGCACGTTGTCCAGCGGCCCCTAACACACTATCTTCTAGAGTGCGAAGCTACTGAGACACTCCGCAGGCAACTAGGGGTGATATTCCCTCCCGAAGAGGACCCAGAGATGACTGCGGCCACACTAGTGTACCATGGGGTCAACGAACCAGACAAGCTGTTACCTGTAATAATGACATATCCTCCTCCTCGCTAGTGTCCATAGTTACATATGGTGTCGCTTGGAAATAAATGGTATAAAATACCGACACAATGGCAATATAAACACAAATGCAGTATAATGTGATCCTTTATTGACTACGTTTCGCCCACACAGTGGGCTTTTTCAAGTCACAAACAGAACTACCTGGGGTGGAAGGAACGCGAGTATTTATAGTCCGGACTATAAATACTCGCGTTCCTTCCACCCCAGGTAGTTCTGTTTGTGACTTGAAAAAGCCCACTGTGTGGGCGAAACGTAGTCAATAAAGGATCACATTATACTGCATTTGTGTTTATATTGCCATGGTGTCGCTTATGAGATGCACCAGTTGAACTGACCAGAGGGGCGCTTGAGCGGCATGCGTCGCATCATTGTGGAAACCTTTCTCCATCGGGAGCCAGAGACGGGTCATCGCAAGATTGGGACCCGTGCCAGGACTATGGTCTTGGCGAACATTATACATACATACCCTATGCTGTACATTCTACAAGATTGATGGACTGAACACATCGACTCCAGGTTGAGGGACTGATTACCTCATTCTCCTCCTCTCCTTACTCCTTCCTCTTTGTATTGGACTGATGAAGCCACTGTGTGGCGAAACGTTTCCTGAATAAAGATTCCCATATGCTGCATAAGTGTCTCAATCTTCAACTTGTCGGATTTTCAACCCATTCATCACACACACGGGAGGGGTTGGATTTGAGTGGGACTTTCACATCAGAGCTTATTTCTTGGGTGGCATTGAAAATTGGGTTGGTCTAATGCTTGTTAGTGGGATGAATTGTAAAGGACCTGCCTAGTATGGGCCAACAGGCCTGCTGCAGTGTTCCTCCTTTCTTATGTTCTTATGTTCTATCCTGCGTTTAACACAACTATCACTACCCCTCCCATAAAACCGCTGTCACTTCACCTCCCACACAACCTTATCACTTCCCCTTCCACGCTACACCACTACCACCAGCAGTCTTCCTGCAACAATGTTCCGTAACCACCTTCATCTTGTTTCCACAGACTGGGTCATCCACTCTTCAGGTCGAGCAAGGAGCGCCGGAAGGCTCGCCTGAAGGATGCCAGGTCGTCCAAGTGCAACTCGGGCGATTCCGGCGATTCTGGAATTGAGGTGAGTTGACATGGGATGTTCTTACTCTTATGATGGGTAGACTGACTTATATTTTCATGTATTTTGTGAGACCTTCATAGTTTACCTCGAGAGCAGCGCTTCTAAACTGCTGCATGACCGTAATACACTACCTGTTTCACTGCCAGGCAACACTCCGTACGAACTATACTACTGAACCCAGAGACAGCCAATAAGTCTAAGACATCACTTTCTGTGAACCACATCACTGAACTAAGAACCAGCCAAAGCTGTGACTTCTCTCAGTATACTAATAGGTAAAACACTTAGGAACACTAATGCCCATTAGCAGTAGCAGCGGGAACAACAACATCGGCAGCAGGAGTAGCAGCACGTAACCCAGCCAGGCTAATAATCAGCTCTGGGATCTGCGGTACAAAGAACACAATATTGAGGAGCACTGCTGTAGATCTACTGGCCCATGCTAGGCAGGTTCAACCCACACCCACTCGTGCACTTGTCAGACCTAGTTTTAAAGTATACCAGGTTCTCGCTTCACCGAGTGGCGCTACTTGGGGAGCTCCACTCGTCTAGAACCCTCTTGCTGAATGTACTGCCAGATATATTTGAGATGGCTTCCTGTTTAAAATATGTCAAGTTCACTAGTGAAGCCTACGTGAAGCCAGCAAGATACGAGACTGACTTCAGCAAGATAACAGGTATTGAATCTATCATACAGAGAGAGTGTTTTGTCTTTCATAAAAGGCATTCAAGACATTCAGTATGACCACTAACTTTTAAAAAATGGCAAAAAAATGCAAAAGAATTCGTCTTTACTGCTGGGAGAACATGTTTAAGGAAACTTGCCCATTCATCTCGCCCAGCCTGGGTATCGAACTTGAGTCCTTTAGGTTGTGAGTGGTGCGGAGTTGGAGCCTAAAGGTGGGAATTACAGTGCCTGCACTCTGGAGGAACTTGAGGATGTTGCACTGAGGAAAGGGTGAGGATGTTGAACTGGTGGAGGAGCGAGGATGTTGTCAAACAGCAATTGAATGAACGATGGTGAATATATCTCCTTGTTTTACGGGTCACCCAACCTGGGTGGGAGACGGCCGGGGTTTTGAAAGAATTACTCACTTGTGATGATCATACAGTCTACCTGATGAAATTACTGCTTCTGTTACTGCTGCTGTTATGGTTGCCGTTACTGGTGCTGTTATGGTTGCTGTTGATGCTGTTGTTGTCATCGTTGCTGCTGCTGCTGTTGGTGTGTGGTGATCAGGTTGCATTGTGTTGATAAATCCCAGGATAATTACGCTGGGTGAAACTCACCCTCCCTCCCACCCACCTACCTACCTACCTACCTACCTACCTACCTACCTACCTACCTACCTACCTAAGTCTAGCAAATGTTAGTGTTTATGTGTGGCAGTTGTTGTAGCAGGTAATGTAACAGGTGTTGTAGTTATAAAGTTATAACATATGTTGTAGTTTAGCAGGTGTTATAGCTGTTGCAGGTGTAGCCCCCTCTTCACACCCCTACCTCGTCCTACCCACCAGCCACCTTCCAGATCCCCACTACCTGCTACCTGAACATTATGTGTCTTACCTAACAACCTGCTACCTACTGGCTGCTACCACTCCGTAGAAGTAGCACACACCCAGAGCAGGCTAGATGTGTGTAGCTTCCAGACTAGGCTCCTGGGCTCAGCTTGCCCAGTGATCGCAGTACAAGTGGGAACCTGACGAGAGTTGTGAAGAAAGGAAGCGTGAGAATAATGTCCATGGCTAGTGGGGTCATCTTCCCACGGTTCACTCTCTCTCTCTCTCTCTCTCTCTCTCTCTCTCTCTCTCTCTCGCACACATATGCAAATGGATTTCCTTATCTTCACCAGTAATTTATCAGAGCCTTTAAGTTGAAGGTAGCGCAGAGGTCACGATGAGCCTAGTGCGCCACCAGTGTGTGTGTGTTCAAGGTTCACCTTGTTATCTTACACTCAATACTTCCTGCAGAAGCACACCGCAAGCACTTCCTTCACGAAACAACCACAAACTAACGCAAAAACCTTGGTTACAAAAATCTTCCAGTGGGCAGTAGACAATAACATGATGTTCGGTGGGTACAAGTTGCTCTTACCTAACACAGAAAGGTCGCTCCATACAACGTAAAGAATGTGTCAAAGACCTGGGAATAATATTACCAGCTGACCTATATTCTTTTTAAAGAACACAGGCAGTGTCTGCGACAGCCAGGAAAATGACATAGTGGATAATGAGAACTTACAAAACAAAGAGGAAATAATGCCAAGGGTGACACTAATGAAAGTATTGGTAGAGGCTTCCCTAGAACGCTGCTCTGTGGTTTAAACCTTGGTAATACATACCCCACAGGTTCATTTAGAAAAACACATGAGTAGACACTAGGACATATTAGAAAACGTTTCGGTCCTGTGACCTTGATCAATTCAAGGTCCCAGGACCGAAACGTTTTCTAATAAAATATGTCCTAGTGTTTACTTACGTATTTTTCTAACCCAACACTGTACAATGTTGTTAGGTAAGACACATATGCAACAGTTAGGTATCTTTATTATGAAACGTTTCGCCTACACAGTAGGCTTCTTCAGTCGAGTACAGAAAAGTTGATAGAAGCAGAAGATACTTGAAGACGATGTAATCAGTCCATCACCCTTAAAGTTTTGAGGTGGTCAGTCCCTCAGTCTGGAGAAGAGCATTGTTCCATAGTATGAAACAATATGGAGATGAAGTGACAGGATGGAGCTTATATAGCGCCAAGGGGTGAGACGTAGGCCACTAGGAGAGGTAAGAACTCAGATGTTGAGAGGTCAGGTCCCTCTCAAATCCAGCCGTTCTCACTAGTGGAAGTTGTCGAAGTTGATTGCAGGTCTGTACCAAGATACCCTTGTGTTCAATGTTCAATCTGTCAGACACTGCAACACAAGGGTATCTTGGTACAGACCTGCAATCAACTTCGACAACTTCCACTAGTGAGAACGGCTGGATTTGAGAGGGACCTGACCTCTCAACATCTGAGTTCTTACCTCTCCTAGTGGCCTACGTCTCACCCCTTGGCGCTATATAAGCTCCATCCTGTCACTTCATCTCCATATTGTTTCATACTATGGAACAATGCTCTTCTCCAGACTGAGGGACTGACCACCTCAAAACTTTAAGGGTGATGGACTGATTACATCGTCTTCAAGTATCTTCTGCTTCTATCAACTTTTCTGTACTCGACTGAAGAAGCCTACTGTGTAGGCGAAACGTTTCATAATAAAGATACCTAACTGTTGCATATGTGTCTTACCTAACAACCTGTCGGTATTTTATACCATTTTAATGTTCAAACTGTACAATGTTGACATCATCCCTCAAGGCGGTAGGGGGGAGGGGGAGAGAACAGAGTTGGAAAAAAATTACTGCCAGCATAAAGTCAATAAAACATTTAAACTACTGTTAATTACTTTCTGGAGAGATGGAGAGAGAGAGAGAGAGTGAATAATGTGTAAGTCAAACTGAAGTGTCGTCGTGAGCGTCTGTCTCCTACTTGCGGGTTATTTATGTATTGTTCCAGTCACGGTATTGTGCCTTCATGTTCTTTGTGCGCCTGGAAGATACTGGAGGGCCTAGTCCCAGATCTGTATGCTACCATAACAACGTACTGGAGTGAGAGATATGGGAGAAAGTGCAAAATTAACTCGGTGAAAAGAAAGGAAGCCACAGGCATAATAAGAACATTCGTGGTTCAGGACTAATCAGTTTGCAGCCAGCAGATATCACAAGTATTACTAGAACAAGTGTATAAGTATTGAAGAGGAAACTGGATCGTTGTCTCTACTGTGCTAGATATATGGGCGGGAGGGCCGCCAGTGGCAACAGCCTGGTTGACCAAGCAGTGAACGGGGAGGCCAGACTGCGAGAATAAGAAAACTCTCGAGACACGTCACAGGTAGATCACAAAGTCACAGGTGAAAACAATGCAATTCTTTTATATTGAGTTGGATCTAACTAGCTTGTGCTAATAGGTCTGATGCAGTGCTCCTTAATTCTTTTGTTCTTATGTACGGGAGTAAATTCTGGGGTAGCTTCGGGAAGGGCTGATATAGACCTTGTATAGACCAGTAGGCCTTCTGCAGTGTTCCTCCATTCTTATGTTCTATATCCACACATGTAGAGAGAGCGAGAGAGAGAGAGTAATAATACCATTCTCCCTTCAAGGACGTGTTTTGATGCTGGTGTAAATGAGTCCCAGCCAGTCATGATTGTTAGGTAAGATTTGTCAGGAAGCAGGACAAGTATTTCCTGACGCGGGTCTTAGTCATTTTATGACCCGCTGCTGGAGCTTTTACTCATCTGACCGAGGCCTTCCGCTGTCTTACCGATCCACCCCTTCAAGAATTATGATTATAACCATTTTTGATGTGTATATCATAGTTGTGCCAGTAAGAGTTGTGGTTGAACATCAAAATGGTATACAATACCGACAGGTTGGTAGGTAAGACACATATGCAACAGTTAGGCAACTTTATTCCGAAACGTTTCGCCTACACAGTAGGCTTCTTCAGTCGAATACAGAAAGTAGGCAGGAACAGTAGAGATGTGAAGACGATGTAATCAGTCCATCACCCTTGAAGTCGTAGAATTTGAGGTTGTCAGTCCTCGGCCTGGAGAAGTTTAGTTCCATAGTCAGGAACTATCTGAAGATCAAACTACTCTGCACCTCTCCTTCCGACAGTATTTAAGTCTCCGCACTGTCGCTTGATCTTCAGATAGTTCCTGACTATGGAACTAAACTTCTCCAGGCCGAGGGACTGACAACCTCAAATTCTACGACTTCAAGGGTGATGGACTGATTACATCGTCTTCACATCTCTACTGTTCCTGCCTACTTTCTGCATTCGACTGAAGAAGCCTACTGTGTAGGCGAAACGTTTCGGAATAAAGTTGCCTAACTGTTGCCTATGTGTCTTACCTACCAAGAGTTGTGGTTCTTAGTTAAGAGCCACCCCCCACCACCACCCTCATTCCCACCCCGTCACTCTCCCCAACACTCTTGACCTGCTTTCAACATTAATGTCAAGCAGAGCGTAGTCATGTCTTCGCTGGACTGTCAGTACTTACATAATGGAAGCACACTGCAGCAGGCCTGCTGGCCTGTACTTAATAAGTCCTTCATAACACAACCCTTCTCACCAGACGATGCCACCCAGGGGCGAAACGTTTCCTTTAATAAATGTCCTGAACTGTAAGTGTCTTGTTAAGTAATAAGACACAACTGCAACTAATGCGACATTTTATTGTCAACGTTTCGCTCTCCAGGAGCTTTGTTGGTTGTTTGTAGGTTGAGGGGCTAATTCAAACTCCTGATCTTCACCGTTCTTCTTTGTATTTGGACTGATGAAGCCACTGTGTGGCGGAACGTTTCCTCACTAATTTATTATTCCAGTGTATATACACTCTTCCGTTAAGTGTTGGTCTTGTGGCTGCCTGGGGGAGCCGTCTTGTGGTATCAGAGGCTCCTGTGTTGAATACTTGGTACCACGTCTTCCCCGGGGAATGTAGCTTTGTTTAACTTAGATTTCTGTGTCTGTCTGCTAATTCAAGACTGCTTAGTTTCGTGCATAAACACACACACACACACACACACACACACACACACACACACACACACACACACACACACACACACACACACACACACACACACACACACACACAACTTGTTTCTCCTAATTGAACCTATGTGGCCCGGTGGCCTGGTGGCTAAAGCTCCCGCTTCACACACGGAGGGCCCGGGTTCGATTCCCGGCGGGTGGAAACATTTCGACACGTTTCCTTACACCTGTTGTCCTGTTCACCTAGCAGCAAATAGGTACCTGGGTGTTAGTCGACTGGTGTGGGTCGCATCCTGGGGGACAAGATTAAGGACCCCAATGGAAATAAGTTAGACAGTCCTCGATGACGCACTGACTTTCTTGGGTTATCCTGGGTGGCTAACCCTCCGGGGTTAAAAATCCGAACGAAATCTTATCTTATCTTATCTCTTAGGTGACATTGGTGTACGCGGTCACGGTGAAGATGACATATTTAGTGTGCCCATTATAAATTCAAAGTTACAGTATATGAGAAGCAAGATGACGAAACGTCAAAAACCAAAAAAAAAAAAAAAAAACTCGACGAAATGATTATTGAAAAGTATTTTTTTTGTTTGTTTCAGTTAGTGGGTGGGTGTGGGCAGGTGACGCTGGACATGTCTGCCCACACCTTCAACCTCGATGTAAACAACTACGTGGACCCGGCCTTTGTGGTGAGTACTCCTTCTTCACTTTGTTTTATAGCACCTTCCCCATTTTCATCTTCCTTCTTTCCCCCGTTCTTCTTCCCTACTGTGTCTCCCCTTCCCCTCCCTCTCACTTGCCGTCTCTTTCTCCTTCTTTTGTCTCATCCCGTCCACTTGTCTTGTTCTCCCTCGTGCTTTCGTCCTCTAAGTGTTACTTTTCGTTTTCTTCATCTCCACTTTTCGTCTCTCTCCCACCTTCTGTCCCATTCTCTCTATGGAAATAAATGGTATAAAATACCGACACAATGGAAATATAAACACAAATGCAGTATAATGTGATCCTTTATTGACAACGTTTCACCCACACAGTGGGCTTTTTCAAGTCACACACGGATCTACCTGGGGTTGGAAGGTACGAGAGTATTTATAGTTCAGAATGTTGAGGTCAGGTGGAGAATGCTGCATCTGATGATCTACCGGGTGGGGTTATAGAGTCTTGGGTAGCTAGGCGGGGGTATTGGACAAGTTGTGAGTTGATCTTCTGCAGAAGATCTACTCACAACTTGTCCAATACCCCCGCCTAGCTACCCAAGACTCTATAACCCACCCGGTAGATCATCAGATGCAGCATTCTCCACCTGACCTCAACATTCTGAACTATAAATACATCTGTACCTTCCCAACCCCAGGTAAGTCACGTGTATGGACTTGAAAAAGCCCACTGTGTGGGTGAAACGTTGTCAATAAGGATCACTATATCTGCGTTGTGTTTATATCCATCTCTGTAACTTACTTCCCCCAACTCTCGGATTTTCCGCACTGTCCTCCCCCACTTTCTACCCTCTCTTTCCCATTCTTTCCACACCCTTAGCCTTTCACAATGCACCACCCAGCCTTCCACTTCCCCTCTCCCACAACACACACACACACTCTAACTCCTCCCCTACACACTGCCATTACGCACTGCTGTGTTCTGTGTCACTGCTGCTGGGAATCATGTGTGAGAAATTTCCTGCTGGAGGTCAGTTGGAGATGCAACACTGGCGCAGTTGCAGAACTTCCCACCCAAATATTCCCTGCAACACCTACGTCACAAGCGCAAGAATTCTCCGATGGCATTTCTCACCAGCCTTTAAAATTCTGGAAGTCTGGAAAGTCACTTTAGGTTATTCACTGGAATTCTGGAGCTCTTCACTTGCATTATACATCTTTGAAATTCAATATAATTTGTCTACGTCACCCTTGGTTCCGGGGATGAAATTTTATCAGTGGGATTCCGGAATGGCACTTTTCATCAGTGGGATTATAAAATGACATTTTGTAACTATAATTCTGGGCTGACATTATGGACCTTGTTATAGTCCTGGTTAATTTCCTTTACGTTTCAAACTAATTACGGAAATGCTCTTACGATAGAGAGGAAATGAGGTTGAAGGAGTGAAGGAAGTGTTGTGTGGAGCTCACATGCGAGTGAAAGAAGTGTTGAGTGGTACTCATTGTGAAAGTTTTGTCTTGTGGTCACACCTTGTACGACATTGTTTACATGGTGTGCACGTAGTGAGAGTTTCCCGATGGTCACAAAATGTGTGAGAGGCTTTTAACTTAACACAGTTTGTGAAAAGTTTGGAGTGTTAACAAAGGGTAATCAGAATAGTGTTTCTGGGTTTCGAGCCTTAGTTCCTGACCCTGCTTCTTAACCTACAGTCGACCAGCATTATTAGTTCCTGACCCTGCTTCTTAACCTACAGTCGACCAGCATTATAGTTCCTGACCCTGCTTCTTAACCTACAGTCGACCAGCATTATTAGTTCCTGACCCTGCTTCTTAACCTATAGTCGACCAGCATTATTAGTTCCTGACCCTGCTTCTTAACCTACAGTCGACCAGCATTATTAGTTCCTGACCCTGCTTCTTAACCTACAGTCGACCAGCATTATTAGTTCCTGACCCTGCTTCTTAACCTACAGTCGACCAGATTATTAGTTCCTGACCCTGCTTCTTAACCTATAGTCGACCAGCATTATTAGTTCCTGACCCTGCTTCTTAACCTACAGTCGACCAGCATTATTAGTTCCTGACCTGCTTCTTAACCTATAGTCGACCAGCATTATTAGTTCCTGACCCTGCTTCTTAACCTACAGTCGACCAGCATTATTAGTTCCTGACCCTGCTTCTTAACCTATAGTCGACCAGCATTATTAGTTCCTGACCCTGCTTCTTAACCTACAGTCGACCAGCATTATTAGTTCCTGACCCTGCTTCTTAACCTATAGTCGACCAGCATTATTAGTTCCTGACCCTGCCTCTTAACTTACAGTCGACCAGCATTATTAGTTCGTGGCCTCTTGGGCACAGTTATATCTCTTTTTGAAATTTTTTATGTCGTCTCCACCGCTTACTTCCTCTTGTAGCATATTACACTACTACCACTGGCGACTACTTCTTATCTGTGTATTTAGCATCCATCTATGCTCACTGACTCCGTGCCTCGCATTTCAGACATTATCCTTATGTGCGCTATCAAATACTGTTGACTGTATCTTACGTGTTTTTTTTTTTCGTGTACCCTTATCCTTTTCTAAGACGTTCAGGTTTGGTTCCTTAATGCTTAAAATATAACTGAATCCTCTCAGTTCCTGGAGCAGTCTTACTGCAGTCTTCTGCACCTCATTGAGTTACTGGACATGTTTGACGAGATGTGAGCTATATGCTACTTGAATTGATGTATTTCGTGTATAGAGTGTTAATGGATTACTTTTTAAAATATGTGAAGGCAATTTTATGATTTGTTAACCTTGCACAAAGTTACGCGATTTTTCTAGTTTCTCAACTCTCAACCTTTTTTTTTTTTTTTTTTTATCGTCACAGGTCTCATTTGCTCCGGCCCTGTTTGCATGATCGTCGCATCCTGATACGTTCTCCCGTATTATAACATATTTTCCTTGTTCCTCTACTGGCTTCTCTAGTTTGTGAGTCATCCTGTGGTGGAGTAATTCCTGCTGTTGATCACATCTGTCTTACTGGCTTGATTCCGGTATTCTGTCATACTGTAGAAACTTGATTAAGTTTGAGATAGGACTTCCATTCCCTAAATCCTTGCTGGTTTTCTGTAACAGTCACTCCTCTAGGTAATCAGACAGACTCTTCTTGGTTAAATTTTCCAATATGTATAAAATACATGTCAGTAATGTGGGATTATTTATTCAGTGTGGTGTGGGAATGTGAACAAGGTAACATTTACGAAAGAATTCGTGGAAACCTATTAGCCGGACTTGAGTCATGGAAGTGGGAAGAGGGGGTGAGGATTTTGCAGAAGGTTGTCTGAACACTTCTGGCAAGACAGCGACTGCATGAATGACGGTGAATGTGTTTCCTTTTCTTGGGTCACAATACCTCGGTGTATTAAGAAAAATAAAATAAGTGTGTCTTGCCTGTCCTGCTGGATACTGCGACCACATTGCCAGGTTTACAGCTGATGGTTGTCCCTACTCTAGTAACTTGCTGTAGATCTTCACAGTAGGTTCACACAACGCTTCTTTCCCTACCCATGAGCATATCTTGTGAGGTCTTCCATGGCTTTTGTTGTGTCCAGCTCTTTGTGTAGCTTCATCACTTGCTCCTTTGATGATGTCCAGGCTGTGTTGGTCAGACCTTTCTACCCGGCTTCCTTCTTAAGTCTCGACCTCCCTCTCAATACATACTTCAATCCTGTGCTCGCTTCACAGTGGGTAAGGAGTTTGGGCGCTCACAAAATGTGGTGGTAGTAGTAGTAGTAGTAATAATAAATCATGTTTATATATATATATTATATATATATATATATATATATATATATATATATATATATATATATATATTATATTTATTTTTTTATTATTATCACACTGGCCGATTCCCACCAAGGCAGGGTGGCCCGAAAAAGAAAAACTTTCACCATCATTCACTCCATCACTGTCTTGCCAGAAGGGTGCTTTACACTACAGTTTTTAAACTGCAACATTAACACCCCTCCTTCAGAGTGCAGGCACTGTACTTCCCATCTCCAGGACTCAAGTCCGGCCTGCCGGTTTCCCTGAACCCCTTCATAAATGTTACTTTGCTTAAACTCCAACAGCACGTCAAGTATTAAAAACCATTTGTCTCCATTCACTCCTATCAAACACGCTCACGCATACCTGCTGGAAGTCCAAGCCCCTCGCACACAAAACCTCCTTTACCCCCTCTCTCCAACCTAGGAAAGGTTGGAGAGAGGGGTCGGCCTAGGAAAGGCCGACCCCTACCCCGCCTTCCTTCCACTACAGACTGATACACTCTTGAAGTCATTCTGTTTCGCTCCATTCTCTCTACATGTCCGAACCACCTCAACAACCCTTCCTCAGCCCTCTGGACAACAGTTTTGGTAATCCCGCACCTCCTCCTAACTTCCAAACTACGAATTCTCTGCATTATATTCACACCACACATTGCCCTCAGACATGACATCTCCACTGCCTCCAGCCTTCTCCTCGCTGCAACATTCATCACCCATGCTTCACACCCATATAAGAGCGTTGGTTAAAACTATACTCTCATACATTCCCCTCTTTGCCTCCAAGGACAAAGTTCTTTGTCTCCACAGACTCCTAAGTGCATCACTCACTCTTTTCCCCTCATCAATTCTATGATTCACCTCATCTTTCATAGACCCATCCGCTGACACGTCCACTCCCAAATATCTGAATACATTCACCTCCTCCATACTCTCTCCCTCCAATCTGATATTCAATCTTTCATCACCTAATCTTTTTGTTATCCTCATAACCTTACTCTTTCCTGTATTCACCTTTAATTTTCTTCTTTTGCACACCCTACCAAATTCATCCACCAATCTCTGCAACTTCTCTTCAGAATCTCCCAAGAGCACAGTGTCAACAGCAAAGAGCAGCTGTGACAACTCCCACTTTGTGTGTGATTCTTTATCTTTTAACTCCACGCATCTTGCCAAGACCCTCGCATTTACTTCTCTTACAACCCCATCTATAAATATA